CCTATTTTATCTGGCAACTCTACTCTGAGGAGTCACAAGGTCTTTGCATGGCTGTCCCCCTCTTGTCCTTTAGGTCCCCGCTCAAATGACCCCTCCCCCATGAGGTCTTCCCTGAGCACCCTGTGAAAGGACCTCCCCGCTCCTCCCCTGAGTCACTCCCCACATCAACCTGCTCCATTGCCTTCCGGGGACTCCCAGGCTCTGATGTGTCTGTTTGCTGTTTCTTACCTGTCTCCTGCTCTGAGATACAGGTTCATGAGCTCAGGGACCTGTTGCTGCTGTATCCTTAGCACCTAGCATAGGCCTAGCACATAGTAGGTGCTCAAAAAATGTTAATTGAAAAATGAAAGGGATGCCTCCCTGGGGAACGCGAGAGGATGTGGGGGCGCTGAGCACTTGCTGGTTCTGCCTACCCCACCTGCTCCCACTAGTGACTTGCCCATCTCCTGTGAGGTTCAGGGACAGAGCTGAGCCCAGCCCCTCCCCACAGGACCAACCAGCCTCTGGTCCACAGATTCCCGCGATAGCCCAGTTACCATGGCAACAGCAACCCGCGTTCACGGTGCTGGGAACAGGAGGACGCCTCTCTCCTGGAATGCCACCCCTGAGTCAGAATCTAATTTTCATCACAGCCATAAAAGTAGTTCTGCATAATCGTACATATATTAATACCGAACACGCCAGTGTTTATTTGGTTAAAATTCATGAATTCGGGTCTAAATAAAAAGTGCTGGTGGCTAAAGTTTTTCACTTCCTTTAATGTTCCTGGGTGCTTTTTAAAACCAGTCACTCCCGTTGGCAGCAACTTGCTTTTAATCCCATTATTAATGGGCGAGGGAGGCCAAACAAAGCAGGTTGCACCCAGGGGCAGTGACTGCAGCGGGAGAGCTGGGCGCTCACTCCCCGCTCCTGGAGGGGCGGTGTGGGCACCGGTCACCCCAGCACCTCCTTCCTGTGTGCCCTGAGAGCACAGTGCCACCTCTCTGGGCCTCAGTTTCCTCATGTAGATAAATGGGGGAGAGGCTTCATTGGTCTTGAAAATCCCTTTGGCTTCCAAAACACAGACCCATCGCTGACTTTTGCTGAGGCCCAGCCCTGCACTAGGCCCTGGCTGGGAGGAGGGACCATGGTGGCTGCCCTTGGGCTCTGGGACTCAGTCAGGAGACAGACATGGGAATCTGGGAAGGCTGCCCGGAGGAAGTGACATTTAAGCTGAGACCTGAAGGGACAATTAAACATTAGCCAGGGGAAAGGGGGAAAGGGAGGAAAGGAGCAGGGGAGGTTAGAGTGGGCCTGGTTTGTAGGACACTGGGGCCAGGCTCAGGCCTTCGGGGCCAAGGAGGTGTTTAAACAGGGTTGGGACAGAGAGAGTGAAACCGGTGCCCAGACACAGTGAAGGGGCTGCCATTGCAAGGCCCGGGCCCCCGAGTTCAGGCCGGGCCATCAGAGCACAGCTGATTCGATGGGCTTTGCCTGTCAGGAGAGAAGCCCTCGTTCACTTGGGGGCTGGTGGACAGGCCTGAAGCCGGGGCTGCTGGTGGCCACAGGAGAGGAAGGAAGCAAGCATAATGGAAGGAGAGCCAAGAGGCGGGGAAAGACTGTGCCCTAAGTGACAGCTGGAGCCCTTGATCCAACTGTACCTGAAGACAGACCACCTCAGGGCTCTTTACTAAGTCATGTCCTTCTTGTTTTTCTTTCTTCCCTCCCTTCCTCTCTCTCTCTCTCTGGCCCTTCCTTTTATTCTTAAGCTCCTTTGAGTTGGGTTTTTTGTTTTGTTTTGTTTTTTTGTTTTGTTATTTGCAGCCGAGAGAGTTCTGATTAATACCCATAATACAAATTCAGGAAATAGTGCCAAAGATAGGAGGTTATGATTCCCGTGTAACCCATCACCCAGGTCCAGCCTGCCTCCTCCCCAGTCCAGCAGACCCTGACCCAAACCCTGGCCATGAGAGGTCCCTGCCATGGGCACTTCTCTAGGTCCCAGACACCCCAGGCCCCAGCCTGGGCTTGAGGGAGGACCCCACCTCTGGGAAACCCACCTGCGGAAAGAACAGCACAGACACAGAGGAATTCTGAAATAGGCTTCTGGGTTTTATTCGGAACAACACTGGTGGCGGCTGCCACAGGGTTCCTCTGTGCCCAGGCCATCTGGGCCAGCAGGGACCAGCGCCATCAGCAACTAGGAGGGAGGTTCATTCACACCATAGAAACTGTACAGCGACTAGGAGTGCAGTAGTCACAGCAGCAGAGCCAGGCTGAGGGCTGCCCGGAGGAGGTGGCTTCTGCCTCCTCCTCCGGCCCCAGCTCAACCAAGCTCCACCAGAAACACTGATTATTGCACAAAGACAAAGAGAGTATGTGTAGCGGCTTCTAAGACCCCAAGCCCTTACACAATGCAGCAAAGGGGACCCTGGAAACGAGGCTCCGGGGAAAGGACCTGAAGGGAAGACAGCAGACAGACTGGCACTGTGCGTACTGCGCCTTCCGGGGTGCTGCCTGGTGCAGGGGGCGGGCGATGGAGGAGGCTTTGGCTGGGGTGGACCATACCCCTGGCTGGTCGTGGGTCCAGCCCCCACTCTGCAGAGCCCCGCAAACAGACAGCGTGGGGAGCTCCACGCCAGTGTCCCCACTCGCCCCGGGGCCGGGCCTGTGGGGATGAGGGCAAGTTTGTGCTTTTGTGACGGACAGGCCGTAGGATCAGGAAGGGCCAAGGGGCCATCACCTAACCCTCCCCATTGCAGCTTGTCCTGGCCAATCACAGCTTCTGTGCCCCAGGCCTGGGAACAGCACTGGGCCTCCAGGAACCAGACCTGTCTCCCATGACTCCCCAGGCAAAGCTCCTCTCCTCTAGGCTCAGCTAGTCCCACCCTTGGACACGACTGCGCTCTCATCACTTCCCTGGTGTGTGCACACTGCTCTAGGCCACTGTGCCTATCGAACAGGGTGACGCCTGTGCCCAGAAAGAAGCTGCTGACCAGTGTCCATGCCGTCCCCTTGAGCCCAAGCCAAGTCACCCACTTACCCCAGACGGGAGCCCACTGCCCCTCCTCCAGGCTCTGGCTCACGGGTCCCTCCAGGAACATGCTGACTAATGTGTGTGCTGCTCCCTCTAACTTCCACTGCTGGGACTGCCCCCCAGTGGCGGGGGGGCGGGGGGGGGCACAGAGCCAGAAAGGTCCCTCGCCTGCGCCATAGCGAACCCATCAGCACAGCAAGGGAGGCGGCCCCAGGTGCTCTGCAGCAGCTTCGGACTTGTGCCCGGGCTCCCCCTCCAGGGATGGGCCGCCCAGGGGCAGGACAAGACCAAGAGGGAGAGCCCGGCGAACCCCTCACCCTGGAGGCTGCCGTCCTGTACCCTCACCGAAGCCTGCCATCCGCACTTTGGGGTGAGGAGCGAGAGCTCCGGAGGTACAGGGGGCAAATCCAGGTCTGACTGCCTTGCTGGCCCAGCTCCACGGCACCAACAGGGGCCTCAGCCGGGCTCTGCCCCCGGGGGTGCCCAGCCTCTTGGCTGCCAGGGCCCTGAGGGATTCTGAGTTGGCTGCTCTGCCTCCCCAGGCCTCAGTCTCCTCACCTGTAAAGTGGGCCTGCCCGGACCCCCCTACTCCCCTCCCCGCCCCACACACACACCAGCTACTAAGGGAAGGGCTTTGCAGGCCACTAAGCTTACGTCACTCATTATCTCCTTCCCCCTGTGCCAGCCTGGGAGACACACAGAGCCTGTCAAGCAGTGACCCCCACAAGCACCACCTGCCAGCCCGGCCTGAAGCACGTTCTTTGAGGTCAGGGTTTGGGAACAGGGACAGGCCCCCTAGGCAGGGCCCAGCCAAACCATCTGAGATCTCCGAGGGAAAAGGCCTGGTTATTGCTAAGTGCAGCGTGTCCCACCCCCGACGGCCACCGCCTCCCCAGTCCTCTGTACACTGACCTGCCTACTCGCTTTTAAGAGCTTAGCCCTGACCTAAGCAGTATGTCTGTGAAGCCAAGGGCTCAGTTACTGCCGCCTTCCTAAGGAATACTGAAATAAGTGCACAACTATTCAAAGGAAAGTGCCGTCTGCAAACCGAGTGAGCGGCACTGCTGTATGAAACCCGCTCTGCAGCTTTGGGAAGGTGGGAAAATGAGACAGGCGTGTGTGGGGGCGGAGGGCGGGGGCGGGCTCCAGGTGACAGGGTGTGAAGGGGGGTATCCCAGGGCCCAGGAGGTGCCCATGCCCGCTCCCACCGGGAGGGGAAAAGCCACGGCCAGCACAGGCCAGGGCAGCCTTGACCCTGCCAGCATCTCAGGAGCTGTCCTGTCTCCTGCTGCCTCCGCTCCTGCCCTCGGCCTCCCGGGGGCAAGGCCCTAGCAGACCCCCACCCCGGGAAGTGCCCAGGGGGGGCAGGGGCCTCACCTGGGTCAGAGCCCCCTGCCAGCCTTGGAGCTGCTCGCCACCCCCACCCCAGCCCTAAGAAAATACAACTATCACCCCTGATGGTTCTAAAGAAACACATCTAACTGGTTGACTAAGAGTCTGTGGACTCTGGGTGCCTACAAGACTGTTGACACAACTAGACAGTCGGGAACAACAAGACAGACACCCCACTACATGGGGGCGGGGGGAGGGGGCGGGATCTTAGCAGCATTTCTTCTTTAAAGGAAAAAACCGCACCCTGAACGACATCGCTTTTTCTGAGCCTGTCTCCCGGGCTGTGGGGCCCTTGGGGGCCTGAGAGCCCTCTCCAAGCTACTCCCAACCCAGGGGAGACACCAAAAAGTAGGGGCGCTGGTGCCCCAGCAGGACCATCTGCCCAGGGCGGGTCCAGCCTGGGTCCTAAGCATCAGGCAAAAAGCTCTGCCTGGGCCCCAGCCCGCACCTTAGCACTTTCCGGAAGTCATATGCTCTCAGTAAAAAAAATAAATATAGATATATGTCTGTCTCTCTCTATATGTGCATATATATATATACATGTATCTGCAGGGAGGACCACGGCCAGGCCGGTCTGGGCTTTGTCTGGGCCTCAGCCCGCCCAGACCCGCTCCATGGCGTCGGGGCCCGCGGAGTCCAGGCTGTGGCCAGTATTGCTGTCTGCCCCTGGCTCCTGAGGTAACGAGGTGAGACGGGAGGGCTCTGGGCCCGGGGGCCCTCATCTCTTCCTCTTGCTGGCAGCGTCTGC